AACAAAAATAATTAAATAATTCTAAAAATAATTCTTATTAATAAAATAAAAATAATCAATAAAAATATACATATTAATTTAAGAATTTATTTATAATATTAATAAATAAAAATTCATAATTATCCAAAATCGATATATAATTAATCAAATTTATAGAATCTAAATAAAAAATCTCTATAAATTAATCTATTTAAAAAAAAATATATATATATATAAATTAATATTATAATAATCTATAAATAATTCCTTTGGAATCCTATTGATTTCCTTTTGATATCCATTTGATCTTTTTTAAATTCCTTTTGATGTCCCTCTAATTTTTTTAATTCCATTCGCCGGAATGTTCCCAATACTTCAATTATCATTAATCGGCATTGCGCCATCTGCGGTTCTAACACAAGGCCTCCACCCGTAAACAAAAGGGCGAGGTTTTGAGCAAACAATTTGGCAGTTTTTCAAGCTTTTGAGACTTATAGATGGCGTAATTGTGTGTTGTCCCTGGTGTTGATGATAAAGCAACCCCAAAAAAAAGCCATCATGTTTAACCCCAGAGTAAACACGCCGTAGACCCCAAATAGCAAAAGCAAACTATATATATATATGTAGTATATAAGCAGTGCATTTTAACGAGATTCTATAATGCCTTCCTCGCACACGACCAAAAACGCGTCGGAGCAACACCTTTGGGCAAGACCCTACAACAGCACCAATTTCCAATCTCCAAAACGCACACGCACACGTCCACACATGTCATTAATAATACCCTATACACCAAACACCCAAGCACCAACCCAATATCCAAGCTCCGAAGCACACACGACCACACATCTAGCAGCAGCACCCTACAGCGACACCAACACACAATAAATCATATTATCTATATAATAATTAATATATTCCCAAAAAGAATAGTAATAGTATATTATCTTTAACATTTTTTTAATATATAAGATATAAGATGTTTCCGCCTTGGTATTGATTAATATTACAAATATATTCCTAATTCCTAACTGTAATACACGTGTTCTTTGCAATGATCCCAATGATTGTTATTGTCCAATATATTAAAGGATCGCATTGTTCGTTGATGAATCTATCCTTTGTCTTTTTTTGATTAAGATTAAATCATATGTTTTCCGTATAAGTATGTATTTATCCTTTGTTCTAATGCAATCAAGGTTCCCAATTATCTTCATCAGGTGGAGGTGGTGAACGTGGCGGCATGTCCATGTTGAAGGTTAAGCCTTTAGCTTCCAGGCATTCACCTGACATTAAATTGATGTTCGATGATTAAAGCAAATAACCATGTGTTGGATACCAAAAGTAAGAACTTGAGATACAGCACAACCCCGTAGTCTTTGCCCTTCCACTGAGGCACACAAAAGCTCCCGTGCAGCGGATTGATCAGTGCGTGTCGCCACAGCTGTGTTAGCAATGATTGCCTCACCTTGGCAAAACAGGCTGGACTGATGCGCGATGCAGGGAAGTCTCCGACAAGTGGCCGTCATCAGCTAAGAAGAAGCAAAGACTTTCAACCAGTGCAGGGATGCAGTCAGGTATGTACCTAAGGTTGCAATCTCATGTCACAAGTCTAGTAAGTGGCTTTGATCTCTACCTGAAGCCTAGAGAATCATGATCAAACAATGGTAGAAAAAGCTCTCTGCATCACCAATGACATGGAGGCGAGTGTCACGATCTCTGAGCCAACGATGAGATCAAAGCCCTTTGATGGAAGGCCAGACCTGAGATGCAAGGCATGCCTAGTGCAAGCCACTTGTTGGTTGACGAGGTCGCGACGTCCATCTTGTTCAAGAGGCCAAGCCGCAACGATCTTTTTTGTCCGGACTCTTACCACTGGTACTGGACAGGCAAACCCTACAAGGCCCAAGCTGACTCAACCACTTCCAAATATGGTCAATCGACATGCTTGCTTGCAAGCTATGTATGACAAGTGGCCTCTCGGCTGCATGCTGACCCCACTCCAGGTGGGTTGCAGACAAAGACCCTCCCAGCATGAGCCCTTGGCCGCTGCAACAAAAAGCAAGCACTGAAACAAAAGCGTAGTAAAAGGAAACCATCATTCGCCATTCTTACTCAAAGGAGACAAGCAGCAAGCATCCCCTGTTGCAAGATCGGCGTGGCTCGCCTAAAGACTTGCTTGCAACAAGCGCTTCAGCAGCCAAGAGTCCGTCAGCAAAGCTGAAGGCATTCCTCGAACCATGAGATCTGTGGTCACCGACGAAGGTTGGCACCAACGACGCGACCCGTATAACACAACGGTCTTGCCGGAGAATCTAGGCCCCGCTTTCTCTAAATGCGAGGCATCTCCAAAGACAATCTGGGAAAACAGGACTGAGGTGGCCGAGGCTCTTCTGAAGAAGAGGTATCTCTTCTTCATTGCCATCAGTTGCAGTGCTGTGTGCACCTGGCAACTGCAGTAGTACGTGACCAACAGGCCATGCTCTACAGCACACTGGGTGCGAACATGTAAAAATGTGTTGTGTCCAAAGCTGGGAAGTTCAGTCTGGTTCGAGCAAAACCAAATGGGCAGTCTGGTGAGCACCAAATGCTCTTACAATCGTAGGCCTCACATGCAAAACCAACCCAGAACATGTTTTCTCAGCATGACATGCCGTCTTTCTCCATTGAAGTTGGGATCAGACCTAGTACTTTAGAGACATGATTGAAAACTTAGAAACAAAGATCCAGCCTGTGCATGTCCATGAGGTCTTTAATGGCTTTTGGGAGCGCTGCCCGTGCCCCAAGCAAAACATGCAGGAAGCACCAAGCACAGCTGCTGTGTTGGCCTTGGTGCCCGAGACCCTATACACAAACGTATATATATATATACCTACATGTGTATATTTGTGTGTGATGTGGTATACAAACGCATCGCAAATGTGAAATGCGCAGGTGCGTGTTTTCACAGCCATACTACCCGCTATCATGGGCTTGGGTCTAGGCACATCGGTGCTCAGGCAACACATCCGACAAGCACCAGCAAGACATGCCGCAGGACCCGCCGCCACCATCGCCACCGCCATATCCACACCACAACGGGCAGCAGCAGCAACAACAAACAAACAAAGACTGCCAACCCGTCCACTGTCTTTCTTCTGGTCCTTGCCTGTTCTGGCGGCCAGACAAAGCGACCCAATCTGTTTGCTTGCTACTGCTAATCATGTACCAAACACCTAGCCATTGTCTTTGATAGAGAAAGATGGGTATTGATAAGGTGCGTCTTGTATGCACACATATCATGAATTTCGGCATCTGAAATACTGTGCGCAAGAGCAAACGGTTGCATTTGAGAAACCAGAAGGCCACAGCCGGCACCCAGCTCCAGCACCTTGGCCCCCTGGAGGAACTCAGCTCGCTGGAGGATCAACGGCAACGCAGCCCAGACCTTGTGACCAAAGGCACAACAAATAGCAAACAACTTTGCTTTAACAACTTGGCATGATCCATTTCCTCTGCCACCGGCACCCACCAACAGCATCTCGCCTAAGGTTCTGGCTCCCCTCCACGTAATTGCACCTCTGGAGGCACAAGTAGTGAAACAAAGCCTTGCCTATCTATATACGCAAAACTCGCTTAAAAGTGAGCCCTGCCGAATTTGTTGGACCAGCTTGATTGATGCCAGTGAATTGAGCGAGGAATTGAGCTGAGGCACCAGATACCCCCATTGGCCAGCCATACAGCCTCTGCTCCAGAAACAAAATAACATGCGTTGGCTTGGCCGCACAGCAGTTTCCACTACCACTTTCAAGAAAATAATTGCTCCCCCGGCTGTCCCCAAACCATGCAAATTGTTGCTTGACAAGGCACTCAACTGATAGCTGTGTTTCATCTCCAAGGCTTGGTATTCTGACACCCTCCGGCACATCGATCAAGAATTTCCGCCTGAGTCCAGAGTAGATACTGCAAGGCAACTGAAGGGAAAGCATGCCCTGGAGAGGTGTCAAGCGGGCGAGCATGCTGAACCCACCCTCATTAAGCCAACGATACAGTGCTTGTGTTGCAAAAGCAAACTGCCAACTGCGCTGAAAGAACCGTGCGGCTAGCAGCACACAAATCAATGAACCCAAGCCGAGATACTTTTCATACTCGTCCTCTGCAAAGAGCATTCCAGCAAAATGTGGGTGAAACTTCGAGCTGTCTTTGAGCTTCTTTCTTGTGGCCCGCTGATATGGGGGCAATCTAGGCAAACATGAGGGACCGTTACTGCCGCTACACTGAGTGTGCGGCTCAGGTTTTCTGCTCAAATCACCTTTAAACGCTTACTTGGCCCTTTTGATCCATCAACTTCAGCATCCTCATGGCCAACATGCATGACAAAGCAGTGACACAACTCTGGAGCCAAAGGAGCCACTACAATGTTGCACTGTAACGGCAACATGTTAAGCCAGCAATAGGGAACAGTCTGAGCAGGTATTCTGAGCAACTCAACATTTCAACCTTACTGACCCTTCATCAAATAGACGGCATGTCATAAAAGGGGAGAAACTGTACCATTCCCTAGGTTGCCAGGCCTGGCGGTACCTGATTGCAAAGTGACCACCTCAAACAAACCATCACAGCGCTCCAGGATAGCAAACTCTGCCGGCCTGAATAAGGAATTATGGCAGTATCGAAATTAGACACATTGGTCCAGCCACTGTCTCTAGCAACGGAAAATACACACCTTACACAAGTTGCCATTTGAACTCGCTGAAAGTTCTGTCCATTGGCATTCAGCATCTTCAATCCTCAGAAATCCATTTGGAAAGGACCGCAATCAAACAGGAAATACTTCTAGACCAAAGCGAAGTGTCTTGACATCTGATACAGTACAGTCTCAGATTCTGCAGTGAATTGAAGCTTCAGACGCTTCGTTCTCTTGCTCCCAGCAGGGAGTCAGTGTAGAACAAAAGGGGTCTACACCAAGTCAGCAAGCCAAATCTCTTCCTATGCACTTGCATTTCCCAGTCCCAGCCTTTCTTTTCTTGTTTTTTGCCTGCGCTTGTTACAATAGCTATGGGGAAAAAAACGAGCGGTCACTCCCCAATATGGATACTGATGTGCACGGTTCCGATCCCAGCTGGTCGCAGCTGGCCTTGGCCTTGGGCGTTCTGTCCTTCTCGTTCTTGGTTTTTGTCTTTTCAGTCTTTTGGGTTCTTTTTTCTTTCTCCTTCTCCTTCTCCTTCTTTTTCTCCTTCTTTTTACCCTTGGACCTGATCAGGGAACCTGTGACAAAACGTTGACACCCCACACATTCAAGTGTGGCGAACCTTGAACCAAGTGGCCTTGATCCTTTAGCACCAGGCTCGTCACTATCCTCCTCCTTGCCCTTTTTGCTAGCTGCTGAAACCTGCGGTGTGGTGAACCAGCGAGGAGCGGGAAGGCAAGGTCAGGCAAGGCAGGCAGTGAACCACAAAGGCGATTCGGTGCGAACCGCTCGAAACCAGATAGCACTCCGGTCTGCCATGGCTCTGGCAAAGGCATAAGCTCCAAATCCGTCCTTCGTCTTGTCGTCATCTCTTTCAACACCTCCATGATAGGTCACATGCCGAGTTGGCGGAGACATCCACATTATGGGCGTAGAGTTGTGAGTGCCAAGCAATGATACCCAAGAAACAAGAGAAACGGACAAATTGACACTGCCTTGCCTGGCCAGTCTGGCATCCTTTCGACCAAATCTTGACCCTTACCCTTGGTCACTAAGAATGTGCAGCAAATGTCACCCAGTATACAATCGAGCCTTCCGAACATGAGAAAATGCCGAGATTGGCACTGATCCTTTGCTCCAATTGTTGACTCCTCCCAAAGACAAGGAGAAGGGCAAAACGACCCCAACCAACTCGCACACCAGGTTGACAGCCCACGGCATGGCTGTGAACTCCGTGTGCTCCTTGCACCTCCTCCTCCATCTGGCTGCTTTGGTATTGATTACCGGACCTTGTCTCCTGCGTCAGTCCAAACCTATTCAAACTCAGCTTGTCGATCACCTAATCCGGATACCTCCCAGCTCGGCGTGTCGTACTCCACAATACCTGTGGTTCAGCACTGGTTGCGCGTAGAAAAGTGCCACACACTTGCAGAAACCGGACAAACAGCACCACTTCAACTCCATCAACTCCATCGCCAATACAGGTTCCAGGTCTGAGGCTGTAGCGTCGTGTGATGGGTTTACGTCGCAAGTGCTCTGGCAACTTGAGCTGCTCCATGTCCTGGGCATCCGCGTGACTGAAGCCCGCCACATTTGTGGGGCCCGGACCCCATACATATTGCCAACAAAATCAATCTAAATCTAGATCCTTTAACAAGAAGAACCCAGCATGCCGAGGACCCAGCAACTTGGCCACTTGTGTCTTCTGGGACCTTCTTGTCCAGGTGCACAATGAAAAGAACACAGCCCCCACCTTTGAAACCAAACGCTGTGCTCACTTCCAGTATTGAGTCAGGTAGCATTCATGTCCATGGCTTGAACATCTCGATCTTCATGCCCAACTTCTACCTGCCAGGCTTGACATGTCACAACAACCATAGCACACTGTTTGTCTTTGACGACACCTCCGAGATGGCCACCCCTTGTGAGGGCTGGCCTTCAGGTGCAGACCTGGGAGCATCCATATGAGACAAAAGTCAAGAAGAGAGTTTTGCATGGACAAAAACAAACATCCCAAACATGTGGTTTTGAAGGTGTGCTTGCCTGACAGCACCTTTAACTTCATTTGTATGATCCTTGATCACCTTTAAAACGAAATAGGTCGCATACTTGTCATCTTTTGCCGGGCGGCTCTTGTTGCCGGGTTTGGGAACCCTGTCGCATCTGAGCCTGCATGAAAAGTGCTTGTTGAGCTTCCAGCTTGAACAAGTGTGACTCAAAGAACACGATAAACAAAATGTTGGAGGCCAATGCTAGCATTGTGTCCACCAGAAGTTGCTTTATTCTAGAAAAAGCTAATCTCGAGAAAAACAAAAAGCTCCCCCTTAAAAAATCAAAAAGCACCCCCAAAAAGAGTGTAAACCAAAAGGCACTAGCAAAACAAAGAGCAACAAAGAAAGCAAAAAAAATGTGCAACCAATAAAGCACAGCTGGGCTTTCTGGCGCACTTTCTGGCGCACTTTTTGGAAGGGCCCACTTTCCGGCGCACTTTTTGGGAGTCCACTTTCTGGTGCACTTTTGGTCGCGTGGTGTTTTTCGCTTTTTGCGAGAAAAAAGCGAAAAAATCGAAAACAGCGACCAAAAGTGCACCGCTGAGTGCAGAAACCTCAGGGACCTCTTTGTTTTGCTTGCGCCGTTTTGGTTGCAAGTTGTTTTTGCTATTTGTTGCTTTCTTCTCTTTGTTTTGCTTGTGCTTTTTTGGCTTTTGCTTTCGTGGTTGCTCTTTGTTTTGCTAGTGCTTTTTGGTTTGCACTTTTGTTGCTTTTGTGTTGCTGTTTTTCAAGATGATCAACTTCTAGAATAAAGGGGTCTGGCGGACATAATGCTAGCAGGTTCGAGGCCATTGCTATTAGGTTTGAGGCCATCGCTGGTAGGTTGGAGGCCAGCGCAGGCCCGCTATTAGATTGGAGGCCATCGCTATTAGGTTGGAGGCCATGGCTTTTGGGTTGGCGTTTGCACTCTGACTCACTAACATGGAAGTGGAAAACGGTCCTTTGGAAGACTACTTTCCTTTACAAACAGTGGGTTTTCCACTTCCATGTTAGTGAGTCGGAGTGTATTTAGGTTGGAGGCCATCGCTAGTAGGTTGGAGGCCATCGCTAGTAGGTTGGTCGCTACTAGGTTGGAGGCCATCGCTATTGGGTTGGAGGCCATCGCTATTTAGGTTGGAGGCCATTGCTAGTAGGTTGGAGGCCATCGCTACTAGGTTGGAGGCCATCGCTATTGGGTTGGAGGCCATCGCTATTGGGTTTGAGGCTATCGCTATTAGGTTGGAGGCCATGATGTCCATCTCGTGACCCGCCTGGATGTGCTCTGGTATTGACGACGCATCCGGAACAAATTTGAGGACACCGTTCTCCTCCATCTCACAGCCTTGGTCTAGCAGTAGGCGGGACGACCAGGGCGTGCAGAACAGCCAAGCGACCGATGTGAAGCTCCACCTCGTCCCACTGTCCATTCCAGAGTTCAAGCCAAATCCTCTCTTCTTCTGTGCTGACAGCTACGCCTGGGCGATGCAAAAAAGACCCCGGCAACTTGATTTGGGCTTGAAGAAGAAGTAGACTACAGAAAGAGACGAGAAGGAGCAAAGCTGTTTCTTGCTTTAGCGGTGCCTGTTGCCCCCTCTCGCTCATGCACTTTGCGCAAAAGACTTGGGGTTCGAGGATCATATTGACCCTGAGACCGTGTGGCTGCGTCACTCCGTCATCTGTTCTTCACACGGTGGAGATCGTTGATCGCGTTCACATTAACTCGCTCCCATTCCTCTGCCAGCTTTAGCAGCTCTCCTTTCGCCACATCCAGGTAGGAGAAGAGTTCGGTGATAAATTCATCTGCATCTTCATCTTCGTGTTCGACCACGTACGGTTTGCTTGCCTTGGTTTGGTCAGGTGTTTTTCTTGTCCTTCCCATTTGGGAGGAAAGTATTCTAAGCACGTGCTGTTGTCTGTTCCCCCTGCGCCTTGCAATGCATGCCCAGTCACTCGCTGACAGCGACGAATGATTTTGCAGCCAGGCACTACAATACCAATACTCAGAAGCAGAATAACCAATCCAATCAAAAGCCATGTTGGAAAACCTTCTAGGCTTCCATCGCCCAAAACTATGAATCTAGATGGGTCTGGCTGTGGAAATTCTCTGGGCCTTGAAATCCGGTTAACCAACACACGAGCAAATTCTTCTTCACCTGTAGCTGCATGGATAATGGGACTCCATCCAGATTTGTCCAGAGCCCACACATCCGCACCAAGATCCATCAACTTCATAGCTGTCTGTAGCTGTGCAAAGGTGCACGCATAGTGCAAGGGCCGAAAGCCTACCTCATCTTCCAGCTCAAAATTAGCGCCTTGCTCCAAGAGCAGCAAGGTTACATTGAAGAGCATGTCACTACGAGAGCTGTGGTGTAGTGGGCTACGACTGTCCGCATCCTGTGGGTCAATGCGAGAGCCCGTGTCCAGCAGCAGACTGGACACTTCCAAATGGCCACCACGCGCTGCGTGATGTAAAGCCGTACGCCGAGTAGCATCTTCCAGTTCCAGGTAGGCCTTTGCCTCCAGCAGCAGCTGCGTGGTGTCCAAATGCCCAGCCCCAGCAGCGAAGTGCAAAGGAGCCCTGCGCATGTCATCAGTTGTCATCATAGCACCGGCCTCCAGCAGAAGCCTTGTTGCAGCAAGCTGCCCATTTCCAGCAGCTCTGTGCAACGGAGTCTCTCCGTCCTCACCTGTGCCTCGGTGGGATGAGCTTCCAAAGGGTCAAGTCTAGCCCGTTGGAAAGCCCATACCACGAAGCAATGAACCACCAGACTTCCCCACCCCCTAACACCTGGACTTGGACATTGGACAGCACCCCACGCTGCACCCTGAAATTAGAAAGATGGGTGACTGCACCTCAAACGAAGAACTACTGTAGATCACCGAAATCTCAACGCAACACAAAACCAGGAAGATGTTCATTTAGGAAGACCATTGGCAACACCACAAAAATTGCCGTCTAAAGCTCAGAAAGCTCAGGCGCAAGATGGTGCTTCATGCTCGAGGCTCAGTGTTAGTTGCGCTAAATCCCCCGAGCCTGCCGCAGACAAAATCGCCTCGCTGCAAAGCTCAGAGGCCACGAAGGTGATGCAGCGCACCCAAAGCACCACGATGAGCGGGCACACAAGGGAGCAAGACATAGACGATCAGTCAAAGCAGTGATATACTTATGCAACAATAAGATAGTACGTCATTTACGCCTAACAACTTGAATGCTGCCAACCAGTGCATCCCAAAGCTACTAAGCTACTGAGCTACTCATGATCAAACACATAATCGCACGATCAGAACCATTCCCTTGTTCCTTGCATCTACCATTCAACAACCAAGTTCATCGCGGCCAGGCTTGAGCCATAGCAAGTGCGAATTGCTGCAAGTGCTTGATGGCGGTTCCTGAAGCGGGTCTTGTACGTGCATTCTGCGTGGACACTTTTTTGGATCTGTACTCCATCTTCGTCTTTGCTGAGCCCACGGCCTCGATCTCCACCTCTGTGCACCACTCTGAAGAGGTCTTCCTTGGTCGGCCGTTTTCAAAAGATCCACCTTTGCTGGATTCGGTGTTTGATCGGATGAGAACCACAGTCGCAATGCTTGAGTAGCTGAGCTTCCGCACTGAGGCGAATTGCGGTGAGATGTGCCACCTGCACACTTCTTTCGACCCTGCCCCCTAATCATGCCGAGCACAATTGCAAAAGGGCAAAGGAAGCCTTTCTAGCAATTGAGAAGTCTCTTGTCACACCCACAAATCTCCAAAGTTCCAAAAAGCCTGCTCTTCTCGTTGCTCCAACACATGAAGATGGATCCCAGCTCCCCCTGATCAGTTAAAAGTGTCATCAAACCAAGACAAAAAAGGTCACAAAGGAAAATGCAACCGGGGCCTTCTTGCCCTTCCAATATGTGGCTCTTCCATTCACAATAGCCTAAGTTAGAATTGACGAATCTTGCTGTGTTCCTGCCAGTCCTGCAGCCTTGCTCTGGTGCTTCACATCTTTGTGACTCACATCAGGGTTCTCGTTGATCGCATAGATGCCATTCAGTTCGGGGTTTTTGAAGCCATGGATCTCGTACCTGCACCACAAGTCTGTACAAATCACTGCCTGTGTTGACAAAAGAGCCCTGGGTATGCAAGACGATCGCCAGAGCCTGCCTAGACACTGCTTGCAGCGCTTGCGGCTCCTGTCAACCATGATTCACAGATATTCAAAGCATGGCATGGCGTGGTGGTTGGGATAAATAGGCACAACCTATCTTCCCCAAGGCCGTGCCTGGACGGCCACAATTTGCTCATCTGCCGCATCAGCTCCAGCCTCCTGCACCTCTGGCGCAGCCTCTGCTGTCACAGCCTCCTCTGGCGCAGCTGGCGCAGCCTCCTCTGGCGCAGCCTCCGCTGGCGCAGCCTCCGCTGGTGCAGCCTCCTCTGGTGCAGCCTCCGCCTGTGGGCCCTCTGGCTTCCTGTCTTCAATTGGAATAGCCCCAGCTTGAAAGTCAGCCACAATCTCCTCCTTATTGGCCCATGCATTATAACCGCCAGCTGGTTTGGTTTTGCCTCTCTCTCTCCCTCTTTCTTTTCTGAGTCTCGCTCTGATGATGCCTGGGGCTGGATGGCTAGCGAACCCCTGATCATAGAGCATCGAAAAGCTTCTCATGCTAGTGGCAAATGGATATGCACGCATTGTGCGCGAGAAAAGCGAGAGGCAATGTTTGATCCGGAGTGATTCAAACTTGTGGTTCACATGATCTTTACTGATTTTGTGGCCAAATTCTGCCGGGTGACTCCTCCCGATACTGCTCCAGGACTCAGCAGAAACAGTACCATATCATCCCCGTCCAGAATCTCAGAGAACTGTGGAAGTCAAAGCTGGGAACCTGACGATTTTCTCCATCCTGACAGTGCAGCTTTCATAAAACTGTCAAAAACGCTGCATGAACTGGCAGCGTCATACCTATTCATATTCGTGCTGAATGGAGGACAACTCTCGTGCTTGAGCCAGCGGCCGCCAAGACTTGACGAAACTCATTGAGAATCTGGACCTGGGAAACTTAAGGAAGTGAATGCCACTTATGCCTGGAAGAAAACGGATGCCAGTTTGCTCTTCTAGGGCCACGACAGCTCTTTCTTTCGTTATCCTCACCCTGCACAAACCATACAGGGGTTTTTTGACCAAACAAGAATGCATCTGAATGCACATGTACAAATCCATGGGTGCTATGTGAACACGATGTCAACAGAACAATGGGAAGGACCGGTGATGGAGTAAAGGGGCGTTGATCGCCTTCACATGATGTGTACAGGATGGCCAAAGAAAGCTAGAAAATTTGCCATCAAAGAATGTTAGATATCTCGAACTACCAAGACATGTTCAAGGGCATGTACGGTCCATAAAAAAGTAGAACATGAAAATCCATCTGTGTTTGTGTTTGATGTTGTCGTTGTTGTTGTTGTTGTTGCTCTTGTTGTTGCGTCATTTTATGATTGATACCTCCAATAATACCAGTATCAGTGTGGGAGGTGTCTGCGTTTCCTAGCGCAGCCACAACGATGGAGCTGTGAAGTGCCAGGTGCCAGGCACCATGCCAATTGATGAGCAAATCATGAAGTTGACCGTTGAGAGTTGGGCACAAGAAAAAGGCATGCAAATGCTTTTGAAGGTCTGTGGCTTGTGGCACGTCTGCGCCCATGTTCCATCAACTTTGGGCGCCAAGGGCAGGCGGCGAATCTTTCCAAATTCGGGAGTGTGCACTTTTTCAGTATCAAAGAGATCTGAGTTCCCACCGTTGGCGAAGACAAGTTGAAAAACGAACATGCATACATTGCATTGCAGTACATTGCATTACATTACATTCTGTTTCATGCATGCACGGCGTGCGTATGTTGCATACATTACGTGACATTACACTACATTGCTTTACTATTTACATACATAACATGAAATGACACGACAGGACACGACACGACATTCATTCATCCATTCATCCATTCATTCATTCATTCGTTCTTTCATTCATTCGTTCATTCTTTCATTCATTCAATCATCCAACCATTCATTCATTCATTCATCCATTCATTCATTCATTCCAGTCATACACGCATGCATGCATACATGCATGCATCCATACGTCCGTACATACGAACATACGAACGAACGAATGAATGAACGAACGAACGAACCAACCAACCAACCAGCGAACCAACGAACCAACGAATCAACGAACCAACCAACCAACCAACCAACCAACCAACCGACCGACCGACCGACCGACCGACCGACCGACCAACGAACCACAACGAACCACAACGAACCAAAACAAAACAAAACAAAGCAAAAAACAAACAAACAAACAAACAAACAAACAAACAAACAAACACACATATACACACATATACACACATACATACACACATACATACACACATGCACACATACACACATACACACATACATGCATACATACATACATACATACATAGCTCAAGCCATAAGCTGTTCAAGCCCGCGGCCCACGAAGACGGGCTAGTGAGGAAACGCCAAGCGCTTCAGGGTTGTCGTTCACGGCCCAGGGATTCCAAGGACTACCGGCCTATACTTTGCCCGTGATTGAGAGGGACAAGTTCACAGGCCCTTTCTCGGGAGCTTTGACCTTGGCACCTCAACTCCACGGACTTCAGCACCGTGATTGGAGCTTTTTCACTGTGTATCTCTCTGGCCTGAACGTGCTCGGAGCAGCGATCAACACCCTCATCCAAAGCTTGCAGCACCTTTTAGACCTCCTTCTCAGGCAGGACGATGACATCCTCGTGGAGAACATCATGGCGCAGGACCTGGCCTACACGATCTGCTCCAATCACAAGTGCAGCAATTGGAATTGGTCAAACAAAATACAGACTGGATTTCGCTGCCGCAAATGTGTGGCACCACATGGGAGGCACAGGCGGGCGGCAAGGCAAATTATCTGCGCACCCAATGCCACAGGCTTCGATCACACCACGAGCCAGCAAACACTGCTTGAGACCCCACCCCAGTTCTGAAGGATGCGCTCATGAATCATCTAAACGCTTATTTGCCCACGCAGGTCAAGGAACTGGTCACTAAACCCTCCAACCGAACAGCACATGGCAGGGGAGCTACAGCAGAAGGTCACGGAATTAAGAGCTTGGCCATCCGCAAGGCTCAACTACAGCAAAGCCTGGAGACCATGAAGCAGCACTATCAAGTTCTGCTCACTGATATGCAAGAACTCTAGACCAAGGTCCAGGAAGGCAACACGGCCCTGAAACAAGCCTCACAAGAATACCTCCACGCGGTCTCCAAAGATCCACGGACTCCCCTTCCTGCAGAACCCACTGCAGGTCCTCCCAGCAGCAGTGGAGTGTGTTGTTACCAATATAAATGATTTCTTTGACACCTGGGCTGAAGAGACCCGATGCAGAGGCAGACGAAGCAGCCAAGCGCAGGAAAACGGGCGCGTTGAGGGAGTGGACAGTGTGGGTAACACGCACACACTCTCAGGGCATCACCCTGAAGACTTACTGTTCCAGCGCCGGATGATGACGTCGAGTCACGTGAGGGCAGTGAGTCAGCATTTGCACAATGAACCGTTTGCTCAGCCAGAAGACTACCTTGCTTCATCTGGCTGACCAGTCCTAGCCTACACTGACACCAAAACAACCAGTATAAAGCGGGCCGGCAAAAGGTGCGTAGTCCTACTTGGGGGGTGACACGTCAGAGCAAGAGAGCACGGGGACAGGACACCACAGCTTTTGATCAAGTTGCAGGGGTACCGCAGCACGCAACCTACGCCCACCACAAATCCCAGCTTTTATATATCAAGATGCCGCTATGGCATCCAATGTTGAGCCTTGTTACACCTGCACTCCGGCGCCTGGGCAACATGGCGTCACCGAGCACTTGCCTGTGAAAGGAGGAGCAGGCAGATCGACGGCGCCCACCCACAGTGACGAGCCAATCAAGATGGCCCAACTTCCACTGCATGACTATGCATCCACCTGGCGCAGAACTTGACCATGGTAGTTGGCAACCCAATTCAAAGGTGCTTCGCCAATGCACCTTGGCGCGCATTGACCTTCATAAATACAATCTGCAGCCGTGGGGCCGCTTTCGAGCTGCGCAAGAGAGTCTGGAGATAGACTCCGCTGACCTGCTGAAGCTGTCTGGCCTCCAAGACATGGAAGCGGCACGACCTCAATGCGCAAGGAGATGCGCGCCATTCTGGTCACCATAGTCATAGTCAGGACATATACCCCTAAGAATTGTGTCCTCCACTGCAAAACCGAGATTTAAGGCACAAGAGAAAAATAAACCAAAGTCCAACCAAGGAACCTAACTAAGCAAACCAGAGGGTAAACCAAAAAGGGCTCCAGTGAGCAAACTCCGTGGGTTTCCCCAGCCCAAGGAGTAGCACAAAGTAGGCTGCCTGGGAGCCAAACAAGGTCATCGCATCACGCAACCATTTGGGCGGGGGAGAAGGCAAAAGAAAAGAGAAACGCACGAGACCGACCAGCCGTCGAAAAACGGAAAGGACGGGCACACCTGGGAGCGACCTTAGGACGAAGACGAAGTACATGACGAGCTGGGAACGTCGAAGAGCACGCAAGGGCGCCTTTTCAGCGGGCGAGACCGCTATTCTCTGGACGGGACCAGGGGCACCCAGCTGCGGTGACAAGACACCGAGCGTACAACAAATTTGCAAGGTCCTTCAGCGACGGGTACGGGTGTCACGACCGTCAGGAGTTGGTGAGGATCCTCCGCCCCCCCCCACCCGGCTGATGTTTCTGCTGTCCCACCAACTGCGGTCACTGTTCGTTGGAGTTCACACAGCCGTCAGACCTGTGACGATGGAGCGTACCCCTGTGCACTCTGTTCTTCTCGTTATACACGTGTCCCCATTGTTCGGCAGTCTTCCCAAGGGCTTCCTACACTGCGACTACACCTGGCACAAAGCCACCCGCTTCACGATGAGGACTTTCCTGCCCTTTGTCCGTTATGTATTGATTACAATTACAACGTTCCGTCGCCTCCAGAAATTCAGTCTGCCCATGCCTTCAAAATCCATCGACTTCCCACTCACTTGCAAGACAGACCCATTGCGCTCGCTCCGCCTCCCTAGTGCTCAAAGGTCCCTGTCGCTCGTGTCTGTCCAGCCTCGCTGCTGATGACCATGGGCGATCGCCGCAGAACAGAAGGCCGAACTCCAGCTGGTGATCTTTGCTAGGGCAGCCTTCTGCACCGTGATTCAGGAATACAAGAGTGCCAAAGCAGCGGTCCTCGCAGGAACCACTGCTAAGCGTCCACCCCTCAAGCTCCGTGTTTACCAAAAGATGGTTCAGCTCATTGTCAGGTCTAAACCGCATGCCTGAAGATGAGGCAAAGCCGTGGCCGTTGATCTTGACCTTCTCAGCGCACCCGGACACCCTGCACTTGCGAAGTCTTAGGAGTCATGCTTCACCACTCGCTGTCTTGTTCCAAAAACTGGACGGTCGCTGGCCTGATTTGACCGTCAAGAGCGGCCAATGGAAGGCGTCAAGGTTGTATCATGTCGGCGGGGCTCCGCCAGGCAAGAGTCAAGCGAGGAGACAAACTCGCGGGGCGAGGTGATTTCGTAGTTAGGCGACGGCGAACCAGCTCAGTTAAGGGAACACCAGGGCAGGACTCGTTATCGGGGAGGAAATAGTGGTAGTGATAATTTGCTTGGGTAAAACTAAGTCAATTTCTTGATTTGGAAGATCATCACACCCTCGGCCGCTGCTTCCATCAAGTCGTTGACAGGCACTTGTCGCCAATTAGCACCAAAATGCTTTTCCAAAAGCAGCGCAAGTGAGTGCAAGCAGAGGTTCTAGCTCGCCCTCAGAGCCTCCTGTTAGGGGCAGCGCTCGACTATGCCGTCGTCCACGACCAGCTGGCTGGGCGCACCTCCATCCAAACAGACTGGGCTGTACCTTGGCGACCTCATGCACTCATCACACTTGCTTTCGAACTTGACCCAGCTGTGAAGTTCTGCAGATTCCCAACACTGCCTCCAACTCCAGACGTCGACTTTCGACCTTGGAGCACGGGCCGGCCATGCCCATCTTCCGTGGCAGTTGGGCACGAAGGTCACGTGCAAGCACTGCGGCCTGGCAGAAGGACAACCGTCTGATAGTCACTCAGGCTTTGAAGAAGGAGTGGAAGGGAGCTCCAGTCAAGCAGGACCCAGGGCTGAGGATTTACTTTCCCACTCAACTGTCCAGCCAAACTCCCCCCGAGGCCACGCCCAGGCAGGCCAGGATGTAGACGATGCACCCCGGTCTACCCAGCATTTCTGGCACCCCAGGGGCTTGAAAACAGATGTATCAGATACATCTGTCCTGCGTCCAGGGCCCAACACTGAACCTGGCCCCGCCACTCCAACTCGAGAAGCCACCAAGAGGCACATCCAGTGCCAGTCGAACTCCTGAGAGCACCGACGCCCGGACCACTGACGTCATGCCCAGAGCCCTTTTCTCGCCCGAGGCGGACGAACCCACTCTCAATGCTGATGTCGCAATGATGCCTACCCAGCCTGAAGAGGCCACAACAAGTGACCACACTCCAACTACGGCAGTTGCCATGGAGACGGTGACGGCAAGCACCGACGAGGATGACACAGTGATGGTCGACCTTTTCTAGTACCACCTCTGGCTGGCGCGGCCGCAGCGGGGTCAACAAGACCCATCGTTCAGCAGTCACAAAAGAGCCTCCCTAGAGAAAAAAAACATACATACATACATGCATTGCATTGCATTGCATTACATACCATACAATACCATACCATACCATACCATACCATACCATGACATGACATGACATGACATGACATGACATGACATACATACATTACATACATACACATACCAATACCATACCGTACCATACCATACCATACCATTACATTATATACATTACATTACATACACTACATACACTTACATACATTACATACACTCCATTACATTCCATTCCACTACATTACATTACATTACCTTACATTACATACATTGCATTACATTACATTCCATTACATTATATTAAATTACATGCATACATACATACATACATCCATTCCATTCCATTCCATTCCATTACATCACATCACATCACATCACATCACATCACATCACATTACATTACATACATACCATTGCATTAAAATACATTGTAAACATACAGTAACATGACATAACATCACAACGCATCATATTTATACATGCATATTTGTGCTTGATGTGGAATATCAGACGAAGACCATGCCATCACATGCATGTGAGGTTTCTTGAGCTTAGTTTATGATGGTGCTTGCTTGTGCATCAGTTTCATGCGAATCTGACCATGGTTCAGCGTTGTATAATCAAATATACAGTATATAATGACTTCTTCAAGGCTGTGTTCAGACTTGGCACTCTCGCGGCCACCCTTTTTTGTGTTGAGATTATCAGTCAACAGTCATCTGTTTGTACTATTCTTTTTCAACATACACGCAAAGGCATTGTCACAGGGGCCGACTGTCGACTCACATATAGTAGTGAGTGAGTGACTGACTTAGTGCTATCACACATATTGGCCTGTTGGGGTCTGCAGCAGGCTCGTTGAGTGTCTGAGGTACCTGGGGCACCTGAAAAAGCAGGTCAAAAGAAACATCTATATAATTTATATAGTGGCTGTCTTCCTTCCTGACTCAGGCACCTGAGGCAGCTGGGGCATCTGAGGCACCTCAAAGGTGCATGCAAGTTTCAAATAGAAAATGGGGTTTGGCTCCATGGAAATCCTCCAAACATGCTTCCAGCAATTCTGGCTCTTGTCCAGCTCAGCAACAAAAGAATAACCGTCTTTGCCTGCATTGTTGGTGCAGGTGGAACGGCGGCCGGTGGAACCGCTGCAGGCATGGTCACTGGTGCAGCTGCCATGTTGGGAAATTGCATGAAGCCTCCAAGCTGGATAATATTGCACCGCCTTTGTTCCCAAATCAGTGTGCAATTGCTGCAAAGCCATCGGCCTTGAAGAGCCATGGCCCCCATGGCCTGAAGCCAGTTGAAGACTAGTATGGCTTTGCCATACGGGAAGTTGACTTCCAAGTGCCTGTGCAGCTGCCTGCTGCATCATTGCACTGAACCTCGGTTGGCGACATGGCACAAGCATGCACAAGCCATCAGTTACTCATCAATGCCGTCATCATTGCGGTTGCTGAACTTGTTTGATTTGCCAGGGCTACAAACCCCATGCTCGGGTTCAAAGCGGGAGATTCCTGTGCATATGCTGAAATATTGACGTCATCAAGAACAAGTGAGCCGCACCTGCTGGCCACCTTTGGGCTTTGCTGCAGGTTCCCGACCTCATCTTCAGAGCGACAGGTTCCACTTGTCGCTCGGGCCAGTTCGGAAACAGAAGAACTCAGTTCCGGACGCCACTGTTCAAGAGCTTCAATACCTTTCTTGCCGCGACCTTTTCCGGTAGGTGTCTTTGCCTGTTGGACGAACGGGCTAACAGAACTTGCAGGAAGTGTATGAAACTGTCCTGCAGCTGAAACAATTATCCAGCCATTGTATCATTGTATCGGATGGGCACTTACCAATTACTGCGTGGACCGGTGCGAATATAGCGCGCACACACACACACATAGTTGCGGCTGTCTAGTGGCTTCAAGTTTGTAGTTTCCAGTGGCATGAGCTAAGCCCGGCTGTTTGCAAGCCACGTAGCCTATCTAGATGTTGCCATTGTGTTTTCCCATGACTGCCCTCCAAATTATACCCCTTCTTGCCGATGTGGGACGCACCTCCGGAGCAGGTTCAGCAGGAGCCTCCTCTGCTTTTGGCCTCACCGGAACAGCAGCACCCTTCCACCTCCTCGCCTGCTGGAATACAAAAAGTAATGTATCCTTTTTCCGCTCTCAGGTGATGGGTGGTTCAAACCACCAAAACAGCCAGTCAGTTGAGATTGTCACATCTTTGAGTCCTCGTTCCTCATGAACGGCCTGCACAACACCAGGCCATTGCGGAGAGAAATCATGACCTGCCACCAGCACTTCAGCATTCTTTCGCAGCTTCGGCCGCCAAGATTCCAAATCATTCTTGACACAACTGTAGAGATGGCAGCCATCAATGAAAAGAGCATCCACGCTGTTGTCTGGCAGCGATTCTGCGGCTTCCACTGACGTGGTGGGCATAAGAAAACCTCTTTCGCCAAAGGAATCGTAAAGTTGGGAGGCTCGGTGCAGGGGCAAATCCGGATGCAAATTTGAGTAATGTCCCGGGAAGGTGCCATCTGCACCTTTGAAAGGATCAACCCCAATGAGTCGCACAAAGTCCGTGTGTTCAATGATAAATCGGGAGAGCTCTCCAATGAAGACACCCACCTCAATTAGCACGAGTTCTCCCCCTCCCCGACGGTCGCGAAGCTCCTTCAACAAAGCCGCCAGCACCTGGAAGCGGAGACCGGTGAAACGGGCCTCCTCGTTCATTTTGTAATGTGGCCCGCCAGGCAACAAAGGCGCCTCTGCATGACAGTCCGTCTCTCCGAACCGCAGCCACTCATCAGGCTCGCCCCACGCAGTGTGGACCACTTTTTCTGCAGTTAAAGAATCTGAGAGCCACTGCCATTGAGTTTCGCGCCAAATCAAGGCAGTTACCCAATAGAAGAGCTCCTTTGTCACCAGTCGTGCGATTCGCCATGCTGGCAAAAGCTCGGCACTTGCTGGTTTGGATGGTTTCTTGCGGTACTCGGCAGCAATTAAATCCTCGATTGCCTCCATGGACCTGCTTACAAGTCCAGCGCTGCCAGTGCTGTGATCTTTCTTCACGATCTGCCAGCTGGTGAGCTGGGCCTGGTGCGTGGCTTCACCCACTTGACCACAAAGCTCATGGGACAAACCTTCACAAGTCCACAGCTGGTACAATGCAACTGACACCCACTCCAGGACCAAGGAGTGTAGAGTTTGGCAACCTTCAACTGTGTTGACATGCAAACCCTGGAAGCAGGCTTCGCGAAAGTCTTTCAACACCACGAGTACCTCTCGTATGGATTGCGCCTGAGCCTTGCTTGTAGAATTGCTATGCAAAAGCTCCTCCCCACAACCAAAGACCTGCCCAACGGTCTCCAGTGTTGTTAGTCCTTCGCAAGTTGCCGCATAGACACATGGAAGAGAGACAAAGGCTGTGAACAGGACAAAGGCGGCGCTGCCACCATGGCTAGGCAACATGAGTTTGCATGTTTGCCAAAAAAGTCAACGTTGGTCTCCTGCATTAGTTTTGCCTGATGCGACTGCTGCGGTTCGTCCAAAAAGCAACGCAAGTTTATTCTTTTGCACCCTTCTGGGTCTGTGCTGTACAGCATGCTTCTGCTGCGCTGGACATAAACGCCGAGGCCTCTGGGTCTGGCTGAGCCAACCACAGAACATCAACAGCGCGACATGGAGCAACAACAGCTGCCGATGCCTGGCCTGGAATCTTTTCCTCTCTCATCGTTCCGCTCACGTCGCCAGTTCGGCCTAAGAGCATCCAAAAATCCAAGCCACGAGCACTCTGAGCTCCAACTTGGCTGCACACCGCCTAGAGCGGCTCCGTCTTGGAGACCTGCGCCGGGGCAAGCGCCGCCCTTGCCGATGCCTTAGCAAAGAAGTGCGAGGTGTTTTGGTCTTTGTGCCCGACTTCAGAAGCTGCAGGCCATGCACAGGCTGTGACGAGGTTGTCGTGACATGTAGAAATATATATATATATATATAAAATCACTGGCCTCTTTTTCAATGCGCTCCGCAGTTGGATCAAAACAAAT